TGCCCACGCCCTGACCGGCACAGGGGACCTGGGAGCCAGACTGGCACTGCCCATGCCCTGACCGGCACAGGGGACCTGGGAGCCAGACTGGCACTGCCCATGCCCTGACCGGCACAGGGGACCTGGGAGCCAGCCTGGCACTGCCCACACCCTGACCGGCACAGGGGACCTGGGAGCCAGACTGGCACTGCCCATGCCCTAGGGGCAGCAGGGGGCATGGGAGCCAGACTAGGATTGCCCATGCCCTGACCAGCCCGGCAGCCAGACTGGCACTGCCCACACCCGGATGAGCATGGGGGGCCTAGAGCCAGATTGGCGACTCCTTATGTCTTCGCCATAGAACAGCCCCTGTGCCCCCGTTGGTCCCTTGCTCTGGCAGCATGGCAGTGCCTACTGCACCCCGCACCCTGTCTAGGGGAGGAGCAAGCGCACCCTGTAGCACCTGGGACCCAGCCCAAAGCATTGGCCTCCCCACAGAAGCGCTCCACGGTGGCCCAAGGCAGAAGATCCAAGCCCATGGAGGTCCTGGGGTGCTCAGTCAAATACTGGGATTACTGGGTGGTAATTCACTAGGGGGTGGGGTATGAGGGCCTCTCCCCTCTAGGGGGCGCCAGCTCCCATCCGGCTGGCTTAGGAGGGCAGGGCATGGGACCTCTCCCCTCTCTGGCACAGATGGCTCAGTGGTTGGCAGAGAGAGGGTGACTGCCCACCCCCATGGAGTTTGGGGTGACTCTACATTCCCTAGCAGTAGGCTCATATTGGTCCCGATGGCCCATCTACTCTAGTATCCAGCCCCTTCCCTGCCAACCCACGGGCCCATCTACCCTTGTATCCTGCCTCCCAGTGGTCAACGCCAGGAGCCATCAAGGGAGGGCCACCGTGCTCCGGGACCAAGGCTTTTTCGGGCTGGTGCCCCCGGATGGCTGTGAGTGAAGTCGGGGAACGGGGGTCCCGATCCCCCCCAAAGAACTCCCAACCTCTGGTTTGCCCCAGAGAAGGAATCCAAAGACAGAACTAGACCTCTGGGCCATTCAACCCAACGTCACTCCGAGGCGCCTGGCCTGGCCAGCTGCTCCCCCTCCACGGCTCTGATTTAGGATGGAATCTTCATTCTCTTGATTTTTTTAATTATTATTATTAATTAAAACACTTGGTTGTTGTTTGTGTGTGCGTCCAATGTAGTGTCAGCGTTAGGGATCGAACGTCCCCAGGCCAGGGGCTGGTTTGGTACCAAAACGTGCACCAGGTAGGTCCCAAGCGGCTGTTTTCCCCCCTTTCTCACCAAAGTTATTTTTTCAACAACTTCCTTTTTCCCCCCCAGGTGTTTGGACCAAGCAAACTGACATTTCAGGGCTGAAAATACTTAGGTTTTGGTGAAAAGGTGGTGGGTTTTGAGAATCCAATGTGTGAACCCAAAAAAGAAATGGGTGCAGGATGCGGTCTGAAAACCAATTTATTTGACTGAAAATGCATTTTGAACTTCCCGTTTGTTTCAACTGAAACCCAAGGGTGGGGGACCCTTTTTTGAGTCGGGGGCTGGTGACACAGAAAAATCAGCTGGGGGCCACACACAAGTGAGAAGAGCAACTCCCTAATGTTGGGAGGGGAGTCCCGAACCTTGGGGGCCCCTGCGCCTTAGGTTTACCACCCCTGTTTTAAACCCTTCTACTCGAAACTCTGTTTTCTAAACTGACAGGCTACGTCTACACTGGCTCCCTTTTCCAGAAATGCTTAAAACGGAACAGTTTTCCGTTATGAGTATTTCCGGAAAAAGCGCGTCTACATTGGCAGGAAGCTTTTCTGGAAAAGCACTTTTCCCGGAAAAGCGTCCGTGGCCAATCTAGACGCGCTTTTCCGGAAAAAAGCCCCGATCGTCATTTTCGCGATCGGGGCTTTTTTGCGGAAAAGACTACTGTGCTGTCTACACTGGCCCTTTTCCAGAACAGTTTTTCCGGAAAAGGACTTTTGCCCGAACGGGAGCAGCATAGTTTTTCTGGAAAAATACTGACAATTTACAGTAGATCGTCATTGCTTTTCTGGAAAAGCAAGCGGCCAGTGTAGACAGCTGGCAAGTTATTCCGGAAAAGCGGCTGCTTTTCCGGAATAAGTGGCCCAGTGTGTAGACAGCCAGAATGATTTTGGAAAACGGAAATAACCGCTATGTTTTGAACCAATAACAGGCTGTGAAACTACCCATTTTTAAACTGAAAAAAAAAATCACATTTTTTTAAATAAAAAATAGTGGCAATTTTTTGTACAAGAAACACAATTCGTTACCAGTTTTTAAAATCGGCTTTTCCCAACCCTGACTTTTATTTGTTTATTTATTTATTTTACTGAAAATGTTTTCCTGACAGCAAGAAAACTTTCACTAAAAGGCAACTGTGTTTAACCGATCGTTTCCATAAGGAAAAAATGTTCTAACCCAAAACTTTTCCCCGAGCAACACAAATATTATACCCCCAAAACGGTTCTTGAAAGATGAAACTGGTGATCAGAACTAAACTAATTGTTTATCCAGTTGGTTCTCAAGACTCAAACGTTGACAAGCAGAATTTTTGCACCGGAATTTTTTGGAACCAAGAGATAGTCGTTTGCATCAACAATGGTTTTCAAAGACTGCAGTTTTTTCAGGCTTGGGTTTGTTGGTTGGTTGAGTTTTGGAGAAGCCCCCTCAAAATAATTGGCCGGAAATTTACATAGAAGACAGGTTGACAGAAATTCCTGACAGAAATAATGGGGTTTGTTACCTTGTGAGCGATCCAGCTAGACCTGCAAATTTCCATGGGGTGGGGGTTGGGGATCTGGTCCAATTATGGTACGTCTGCACTACAGCCCTTCTGTCTCAGGGCTGCGGCTTGCACTGCGTCCACACTGCAGAAAGAAAGGGTTTGGACTGGTGGCAAAACAGCACTCTCCTTTCTCTTCCCTCCTTCATGGCCCTAGGAGCCAGGCCCTGAGTTGGTCTGATGTGGGGTGGGGCTGAGCTCAAACCTGGGTCAGAGCATGCAGTGTAGACATGACCAGTGTGTGCACCAGCCACTAGGGGGCGGCAGAGACCCACCCCATCATACTGGCAGGTTTTAGGGGTGGGGAGCTGAGCTGTGATTGGATGCCTGTTTCACCTCCCCCTCCCCAATGTTTGGTGACTTAGAGCCAGGATCCTGGGTTCTCTCCCTGGCTCTGGGATTGGAGTGGGGGCTAGTGGTTAGAGCAGGCAGCCTGAGAGCCAGGAGTCCTGGTTTCTTTCCCCAGATTGTGGCCACGGTGCTTGTTTCAGCATCCAGGGTACCTGGATTGGAGCAAAGCCCTAGGACTGATGCTCTGTTTGGCACCAGGCTTTGTGGGACTGGGGAAATCTGATCTTGGCTCGCCTTCTGCCTTGGCCTCCCCCCTCCCCCCATCTGTGAGGGGGAGGCTGGGGATGGGGCTGCGGGGCAGCAGTTTTGGGAGGCTCTGCACCTTGAAGTGGCACCCCATGCACCTCCATTGAGCTACGCCTGATGCTGGAAGGAGTGAGGCCTAGTGCTTAGAGTGGGGCTGCGCGCCAGGACGCCTGGGCTCTCAGGGCCTTGCGGGGGAGCGGGGTCCAGTGGTTAGAGTAGGGGGAGTAGGCCTGGGAGCCAGGACACCTGGAGCACCTTTCCCAGCCTGGCGGGGGTAGCTCTGCTCCGTCCCTGCTGGTGCTGCGACCCC